TGATGAGTACTGAGAGTAAAGGTTCTCTCAAACCAACATGATATGTGGGAATTGTAGCAATATGGTATGATACAGCATTGTAAAATTACATAGCACTACCTGTATTCAATTCTGAATTCAGTGTGTCAGGTGCATTTAATGCTGTGTTACTTTATATTGCTGTTTTGTCCTGTACCATGACCAATGTCATATACCATTTTGGTTTGAGAGAACCTAAAGACTAAATGATGCAGGGTATACTATTTAAAGTGCATCCAAAATGAAATGAGAAGCAGGTTTTCCATGACACTAAGAGTTAAGGTTACCCTAAGTTGTTGCCACTACTCATGTAGCAGTGTGACTCATTTCAAGGAAGTAACAAAGTTTTAGGACATGGAAAGTGTTTGCCTGTGACAAGTCCTAATCACACAACAAAACAGCTGAAATTACAGCTGTACTGCTTTCAAGCAGTGCATCAGATGCAGTAATAAGATAGGTCTACAAGAATTCAGTATTGCCATTGGTTTCATAATTTTGTGTATGAAGGTGCTCATGTGCAACAGTTAGGACTGCTGTTTAAATGGAACATGCTACCATCTATCAGTGGTCTTACGAACTATAGTTTTGGCCACGTAATAACTTGGGAATGGTATGAAATTTGATATGAAGATTATTGAATGATGATCACACCATTACCCATATTGTGCATTATGCCCCTATGATGTCATCACCTGTGATATTGCCTGTCATGCCTGTTCATATGCATTTAAAAACTAGAGAATGGCATGACAGATATGCATGAAATTTGGCATGGGTGTTATGCCATAGGAGACTACTCCAAATTTATACTTCCTAATTTTCTAAATTCAGTAATACCAACATTGATTTCTGCTCTTTTCTAAACCATATATTTTTAGAATGATCAAATCAGGGATGCTGCAATGGACAGGTAATGTAATATAATTGGGAGAGATGAGAAGTGCATACAAGGTTTTGGTCAGAAAACCTTGAATGGAAGAAACCGCTTGGAAGTTGTATACATAGATGAGATGATAATATTAAAATATCTGTGAAAGAAATAGTTTGGGAGGGTGTGGACTATCTTAATTAGGCCCAGGATAAGAACCAGTAGCAGGCTTCTGTGAACATAGTAATGACTTGGTTGTAGCATCTGTGCAATATTTACATTTAAAACTATAGCTAGTATCAGCTTTCAAACTAAGAGTCTGACTTTGAGTCTGTTAGCAGATCCAAACCTTGTTTCTTTCTGTTCCCAGATTACCCTAAACATTTTGCATGACATACATAGCCATGGATTACCTAGATCTACAGGGTGGATGGGAAGTAAGTAGGCATTGAGAAATGGTTATAACCTCTATATTTCCAATGCAAAGATAATAAAAATAATTTTTACATGTACCTTTTTAAATGGGAATGCCTACTTACTTCCCACCCATCCTGTATATTTCTGATAGTAGTGTTGGCACATTTCTGGTTGGACCATCAATCACAGATGCATGCCATTCTAATTAAATGTGACTGGACTTTCCTAAGTTGCATCTGTTTTCTGTTAGGTTTTAAATATTCTTCAAGATGGAGGAGGGGAACGAATGAATTACTTCTCTGACTTTGTAACACATTGTGTTATTGGAGATGATGCATCTGAAAGTGACATTTGTGATGCTAAGGAGTTGTATGAAGTCCCAGCAGTTACTCAGAAATGGGTGTTGTATTCTGTGAAGTGTAAAAAATTGTTACCGTATCCTTTGTAACATCATCATACATTTCTGTGACAGTTATTATTTCTGTTAATTTTCATTGTTTTTGTTTGAAATTATATGTGTTATGTAGCAGATATTTTTCTTAACTTTGTGATCAGTACTAAAGGTTTCTTGCCTGACAGTGATCAGCTTTTTTCAGGGATAGTTGCATGTCTTTCACAAACCAGCAAAGTTGATTCCAAAGCATTATGGGCTATGATAACATTCAGTGGTGGACAATGCCAATTGAACCTGAACAAGCGGTGCACACATTTGATAATTACAAAACCAGAAGGAGTGAGTTTATAGAATTTTATTTTTTCTTATTATTGTATTGTATATAAACTGTACACATGTGTCATGTCAATGCAATTGCAAAATGGAACAATGAGAAGTATGTTTTGGAAGTTTTGTAATTATCTGCTGTAGTTATTTAGAAAAGAATACTGAATATTTTTTAATTGAAAGAAAGAAGAAAGTAAAACATTTTTACATCAGTGAGTTGCAGAATTACATTTATACTGCAAAAATACTAAAATATTATAAAAGAGAATAGTTGGTAATGCATGTATGATAACTGTAAAATCTGAACATACTTCTATGTTTTTCCATTCTAGATTAATCTTTCTTGATCAGAATTGATACTCCAGTTAAGGCTCTTTGATTTGAACATCACAGTATATCATTCTTATTTGTCACTGTGATAATAACTACTTGAAATATGTTACAGTATGTTTTTTTAGATGTTGTTGGATATTTTAACTATTGAGGTGGAAATTGATAATCCAAATTCAAAAACATAAGTGTGAGAATACAAAGAATAAATTTGGGATTAAGATAAAAAAATTGTATAAATAGCCAGACAAGATTTAAGTAGGTTAGTGCTACTGTTAGTAAAGAAGAAAATGTTACAATCTGAATTATATATTTTAACTAAGAAAATTTTATAATAGAAATTGTAATTGGAGATATTTTGTTATTGAATTTATATAATGTGACTTATGCATACATAATAAATAAGTTAGATTAGTATTGACAGAAAATGGGTAATGGGAAGGCATTATAAGAGAGATGATGTGTTGAACCAAAACACTGAAGAATGAAAACAAAGAACTAAGGATGGCACACAATATTTTAAAGCACGTGAATAAAAATTGCTACAGTGTGTTAGATTTAAACTGTGTGAGTTTGTTTATTCATGAACATCTAGGAAAGAATTGTGAAATATGTAAATGCTGTTGATGTTTCTGTGTATTAATATTTGTATTGAAACAGGCAAAGTATGAGGAAGCAATGCGTCACGAAGGAACCCTTCGTATTGTGACTCCAGACTGGGTTGTAGATAGTGTGCGGAGCCGAGGGAGGTGCGAGGAAGGTCTCTATCATCCGTGTCTGCTGATTCTACCAAAACCTCATTCTCCTACCCCTCCGCCTGTTCTTCCTTCACAGTCATTTCTGTCACGATCTTTTGGATCCATAGGTAGGCTTACATTATGGTTTCTGATTTATGCTGCTGTTTTTGTTTATGCATGATAATAAGTTAGAGTAAACGTGATTCATTTAGACATGTTACTAACTTGTGCATCGTGACTGAGGTGAGATTTAGAATTTGGCACATTACATGAAATGTCATCAGAATTTTTCACAAGAAATAATTTGGACAACTGTGAACTAATTTCTCACTTTCTCATGGTTTTAATTAATGTTTATTTATGTTTATTTAACGATGCTCTCTGTAGCTCTGAAGATACAGTGCTGAATGATACAATGATTAATGAGGAGTGAATTGGAAATGATATGGGAGGAAGCCTTAAGGCATAATTTAAGGTATTATCATGCATTTGCCTGGATAGATTGAGGAAAACCATGAACAAGCTCAGGATAGCCAGTTTCAGGGCCAGGATTTGAACCTGGGAACTAGTGAATATGAAACAGGAGTGCTGACTGTGCAGCTATGGTGTTCAGTGTATCAAATGTTGTTGAAGTTCTGTTTAAATGATGAGATGATAATAAAAATTTCTTTGTGAAATAATAATGTGTGTGTAACTACATAAATAAAAAAACTAGTTTTATCTTCCTCTGCTTTATTCCTTGGTATTAGTTGTTTTCTGTTTACATTAGAGTAATTTTTTCTTTCATTTATATATAAATAATGTCTGTTAGCCCTATAACAAAGTACAATATTAGAAAGTCTTTGTAAGATTTTTTTATTAATGCCCACACAATTTTTATTATTATTATTATTATTTTATGTTTAGTTATATTTTTACATAAGCTGTACCTGCCATTACACAGGTGTCAATAAGAGCTGAATTTCAGGCACTCATTCAGCAGAAATGAGTGGTTATATTATTATAAATACCAGTAATTGTTATGCCCCTGTTTTGCTACAGGTGATAAATCAGGGAGCAGTGACAGCAACAGTCTGCTTTCAACAGCTCAGATCCTTGGATTTGCAGACGAAGTGTTTGATAGCAAGGATTTGGGTGGTGGTGATGGTGGAGTTGGTGGGCAGTCTGGTAGCAAGGCTTCTCTTCTGGAACAGTTGAAGCAGAGGATGCCGTGGAATCAACCCCAGCCTGCAACACACCAGAAACAAATTTTGACAACAATGCATCACCAGCAGGTAAAAGTTGCTGATTGTTAGCAGTTCTAATACCTGTAATCTCCAGTTTGTGTACTGTTATTACCAAGGGTTATTTAGTGTTATCATAACATGTTTGTTACAGGTTTTGCAGCAGCAGAAGGACCAGCAGTTACAGCAACAGTTGCAGCAGTTTCAGTCTATTCAACAACAGCAGCAACAACAGCGAATGGCTGCATCATCAGCAGGGTTAAATCCAGCCGCAATGCAGCAGCAAACATTGTCTTCCTTGCAGGTGTCTGCTGGAGGGGGGCAACTGCTGCAACAACAAATTCTTTCTTCATCTCCAGCAAGCAGTAATGTGGTGATGACAGGTGGATTATGCACTTTGTCATACTTTGCAGCATGTATAAAATATATCTATAGGCAGACTGAGGTGGCTGGGACATGTTCAGTGGATGACTGGTGGAAGGTACCCAATAAAGGCGCTAAATGGTCAACCAGGTGGAAGGAGGATGAGGGGACGACCACGTATGAGATAGCTAGATGATGTGGAGGCAGATCTGAGAACCATTGGAGTAAGACGATGGTAAAGGAAGGCAGAGTCAAGGGATGACTGGAAGACTGATAAGGGAGGCCAAGGTCCTCAGAGAACCATAGAGCCACGGAGGAAGGAAGGAAGGAATAAAATATATCTATATTAATTCATCTAGGCTTTAAATAAGGGACCAGAAATGCTATCTTCAACTAAAATATGAATAAAAATCTTCAGAATCACATTTCATTTATATATTATTATTGTCCTTGAAGGTGGTAGGCCTGTTTCGCTTGCTGTTGGTATTATAAAACAACAAAAAACCTTTTAATCTAGTAGCAGCTTTTTGTCATCTTAAGGTTAGTATTTTGTAATTTGTTCCCTGTATCTTAATCTTTAGGCAAACAGGCATCATACACTCTACTAATGAAATAGTCATTGATCCGAGACAACAGTGGCCTTGCTGGCACCATTTTTAAAGATCAGAGGTTGTAGTTTGATGGAATAGTTAGCCTGCCTGCTTTGCACATATTTTCTAACGTGCTATTATTAGCTGTTAATTTAATAGTATTAGTAATGGTAGTATTACTAGTATTCTTGTTTTGAATAGGTCAAGGTGCTATGTTGCAACATCAGAGGGCAATGCAAGTGGTTCAGCAACATAGAAACATGCAAGTGGTGCAAGATGGTACTCAGGTGCAGGTGATGCATCAGCAGAGAGTCATTCAGCAGACATCACCCCATCCACAGCAACAGCAGATACAAGTGCAGCAAGGTCCTCCTTGGAGACAGGCTATAGTAAGTAGAGGCGACCTGGTGATGCATTTATTATGGAGTTAACATTTTCTAGTGGTATACCACACTGTTTTTTTATTTACATGCTTGACTTTAAAAATATATTTTGGGAATAACAGTTGAAGGAGTTCCAATTAAACACTGAGATTTGCTTGTAGAGGAGAAATTCCTGCTTCCATGTATTAGACTCCGTAATCCTAATGTTATATGGATGTTGAAATAAAGAATCTATGATGAAATGGGCATGTGGTCAAAGTGGTAGAAACCTTGAATATGTGTAGAATTTTTGTGAATCTGTTGTTAAACTTTTTACTGCTTTGATCTCATTAAAAATGTGATGTCAGCATCAGTCAGCACCTAACCTCTGTCCACCAAGTAAGTTAAAACTTTAAAAATACAGATTAATAACTACAAACAGTACTTACCTATATGTTACATAACCTATACAGTTGAAAGAATAGTGTTAACTTTTGAATTGTGCAGTCATTTTATTAACATTGTTTTATTCTTTCAGCCGCAACAGCAGCTGCCACCACAAATTCAAGTACAGAAGCAACAGTTTGTATTACGAGAAGGTCAGCCACAAGTACAGCAACAGCTCAGTCAGCAGCCTCAAACACAGCAGTATACTGTCACTGTACAGCGTGAGGTAGCTGCTGGTGCAGGTAGTCAGCTGACATGGCAGCAACAGCAGCAGTACCACCTTCAACAACAACAGAGACAGCAGTTACAGCAGCAACAAGGACAGCCACAGCCAACACCACCACCACTGCAACGTCAGATCGCATGGACTCAGCAACCACAAGCTCAGGTTACTCTTATTATGTGAATACAGTTTGAAAGTGATTTAAAGTGAAACTTTCAAATCAACCCAGTAGGTTGTCTTGGCAGCGAAATTTTAGTATCTACCTGGTTTAATTACCAGTTGGCTACCTGGCTACCAGCTATTCCATCTTATGTCATTTATATGTTTCTACAATTCCTCCAGCCAAATGCTAATTTGGTTAGAGCAACTTTCTGCTTCCTTATCATTCCCATTGTATCATTCTATCACATTTAATTTGGGATTACACATTTTCAACAGTTGATACAGCATCATAAATTAAGTAAGTAACAAATCAAAATGAGCAGAAAGATACTGGCAACGTTGTACTTAATGGATACCTGAAGGTATTTGGCAGTCAAATAATTCACTTCTTATTACATATCTTAACCTGCAAATTATATTTAGTTTTGGCTTACAGGTGAGTCATAAACTGCAGCAGTTATTTAGTGTTCAGTCTATATATCTCCCACTACCCAAGACACGTAGAATTCCTAGGTCTGAAATTTGTGGGAGTGTACAAAGTATCATGTACCAGCAGCAAAGGATACTAGGGTAATTCCAAGTGTTGAATTGGGAGTGATATGGCAGGATGTGGTTTTAAGCAGTTACTCAGCATATGCTTGGGGGTCTGAGGAAAACTGCATGTAACCTTAGATGGCTTGTCTCTAGGCCAAGATATGAATTTAGGGCCTGCTGAAAACAAAGGAAAGAAAATTTTTAAATGATGATATTAATATATATGTAGACAATATTTGATTTTAGAAAAGTTTTCGTTTCTGATGTCACCCTCGGTGGACTAGTGGTTAGTGTACTTGCCACTGGACCCAAGGTTCGCAGGTTCACACCTGGCCAAGGTCGATGAATTTTTAAGGGGGATAAAAGTTCATATCACAGCTTCCTTCAGAGGGGAAGTAAAGCTGGCAGTCCCATTTCATAGATTTACAGCATGCCAAAGAACCTTGTGAGCATGAACGAGATGTTTCCTAAGCAAAATTCAGTGGCCATTTCTCACCCATGTCTCTCCTGATTCTGTACTAGATGGCTCTAGCAGACAAATCAGGATTGAGTAGAAATTGTGCAGAGGCAGTGAGTTTGTCACTCACTACTCACAGATGCACACTTCAAAGACTAGGAAACCTCCCATATGGGAGGAGGCCAAGGCCCGACTCGGGCTGTAATGCCATTGGATGGATGTATTTGTTTCTGATAGTTTTCATGCCTTGTGATTGCTCCGTATTCTGAACCTTGCTAACATTCATTGGGTGTTTGACTGAATTTGATGTTTCAAGCAGTTCTTGTCTATATTCTCGTAGGGTCCACCACGGCAGCTTATACATTTGGACCCCCAGACCCATGCACAATTGCAGCAGATGGATCCACAGCAGAGGGCCCTTTTCATTCAGAAGATTCATAAGCAACGGCAAATAATTCTGCAGAGACAGTTACAAGTATGTGTATAATGAAACAGTTTATATCTTATTAGATAGTTAATACCATTTTTATAAAAAGTGCACTCTTGTAAGAGTTTGGGGTAGCTTAAGTCAGTATGGTGACTGGGTTTCAGTCCCCAGCTGGGGCAAAGGATTTCTAGTCTCTACATTGTGACTGGCTCTGGGACCCACCAGTGGGTAGGATCTCATATTTATGCAAACTGCATGACAAACTGATTACATTGCTGTTACTGTATAGGCACTCTTGAATAAGTGGGCTGGAGATTGAGATGAACATAAATATGATCCTCTTTCTCTCTCACTTCTTGTTCTAGCATTTTCTGTTAATGATCAATAGGGAAGATTTTGTGGACTTTGTGACAAGTATTGCCAGCCAATAGGAGAAACTTACCAAGTCACACCACACACCTGAGGAAATTACAGGGATGTATCATGCAGTTGAAGGATCATAAGAACTGCTTTGTTGTACTAGACCAGTCTCAATTATTTTGTGTGTTGTCATGCTGTACTGTCAAACTATAAGATGTATGATGGTTTTATGCACTGTTTTTCAGTGAAATAATGTTAGCTTAAAAGCAACTGAACTTTGTATTTTGTTGCTGGTTTTTAAATAGGAAGTCCAGTAGCTGTGGTACAATTTTGTGTGCTTTTGGAAATCATTATGTCCCACTATATTAATCATTACCAATTTAGCAGTTATTCTGTCAATATTCAGTTTAGATCATGTGAAACATAATAGGAGAAATTGGAAGGTACATTCAGAAAGAATAAAATTTGAGAGGTTTTCCCTGAAAATTATAAGATATCAACCAGAAGGAAGTGTGTGCTTAGAAATCCCTGAAAGGAATATGGACATACTGTCTTGTAATATTTATAACAAGCCAACTGAGTATGATGATGATGGTGATGTTAATGATGAAATGTCATTGAGAAGTATTTATTGGGAAGGTTACTTTGTGTACAAAATAATTTATCTGTTTTAAAAATAGTTCAATATAATTGTAAAGAAGACATTAAAAAGTTTTAATTTTACTTTCTACTGAGTCTTACGAAATAGCTTGTCCTTGATCTGCAAGGTACAAAGGCAAGCACAGGCACAACAGCAGGGTTTAACACAGGGGATGCCTCGCCAGCAACTGATACAGCAGCCACAGCCGCAGGTTCTTATTCGAGGTCAGCTCCCTGCTGGCCTGACCCCTCAGCAACAGCTCCAGTGGCTGCAGCAGCATCAACAGAGACAGCTTCAGGGACAGACTGTTGTGTTAAACCAGCAGCAGCAGCAGCAACAACAACAACAACAACAGCAACAACAACAACAACAGCTGCTCCAGCAGAATCCTCAGCTTCGCCAACAGCAGGTTAAACTTTTTAAGTCTTGATGGAATATATATGCCCCATTTAACATTGTATGCTTTTGGCCAAATGATAATATGTTGTCCTGCTACATCATGATATTAAAAATGTTATACATCCAAACCTTGTGTGTCGACCTTGCTTTTAAGGCCTCATAAATTGTCAGAGACTCATTTGTAATTGAAACATCCAGTTTAAGAAGGTTTTGTTATGTACATTCCTTTCAGTATTAAGAAAAGTGTCTACTATGGACCATATCTTTGGTTGTGTTCCATTTGTCATTTCTGTTTAGTAACTTCAGTGAACTTTTAAGGATTTCAGAGGAGGTGGTCAACAGTTGATTTAATTTCATAGGTTTTAGTACAGCAAGAGCAGCAGAGTCCGCTTCGCCAGCAGCAGTTGATAGTTGCAGGGCAGAATCCCATAGCACAGCAGCAACAGCCTCCGCTGCCCTCCGGCACTACGCCTGGAATCATGCAGAACCCACAGCAACTTCAGACAACAGCTGCTGCTGGCACTTGGATACCTCAGCAGGCTGAGAATGCTGGTTCGGGTATGTTCACTGAAACTTCACCCACTGAAATTGAAATTGAATTTTACTGAATAGAAATTCTTTATAATGTTAATGTGTAACTTTTGATTTTGGGAATAAGCCTTGTAGAATGTTGAAGGTTTTCAAAATTTTTTTTGGCAAATATTTCAGTTGCAATTTTTGGAGTGAATGTCTTTGTGGGGATTCAGAAACCACTTCATAGATCAGGTAGAGATAAGTAAATAGGTTTGTATCTAGTAGGGATTGACAATGCGCCTGAAAATATTTTTTAGAGACCAGGTAATTAGAAAAAGATGTGATGAAAGGAGTTTAGTGACCACGTGGTTGGGGAAAAGTAATCTGTTTAGTACACCATAAACTCCAGGTGTACTGAACATGTTGTCACAGCAGTAATGAACTTCATTTGTGTGTGGGAGCTACACAGTTTGAATCTGTTTCCAAGGTAGTGGCTATCCTGACATATTTTTTGAGGTTTTAATTTTTAAAAATGCCATGGAATAGGCCACAGTCAGTTATTTTCTTTTTCACCAAACAATCATTTTTCCATTTCATTTTATACTAAATGACCTCTGTAGTTAATACTGTATTATAAAATTCAGGTGCACGGATTTCTGAAGGATTACACATTTTAATCATTTGGAATTCTTGGGGTTTGCCGTGCTTTTCTTAAAATTCTGTTTGTATGCACAGACCTCTTTATATCTCTGCTGTTCCTTTGTGTTCATTGCTTACTGCTATTATTATTATGAATTTGTGAATGTTATGTTCCCGAGATGTCTGTCTCTCAAAGTGTTGATGCTAGTGATTTATATGTTAACTTTATGTCCTCCTTTAAATTAACATTAGGTTTAGAGAAGCAACTTCAGAATATTATGAATGGTCGCCACAACCTGCATTAATAATGTGGGGAATTTATAACCTCAGACCTTTTATATTAGGTGCAGGTAGCATGTCCTTGTAGAAGAAACTGACACATAATGTGAAATATGGACCTCATTATGATTTAAAAATGTAATTTGAAGCATTTTTTTTCGATACAGCAAATGATTAATGAAATTTAAGGAAAATATTTTGTGACTGCAATTTGGTGTCCATATTATTTTTGACTCAGTAACAGTGGATTTATAGCTTCATTAATTGATTATTAAGGCAGTGTATCAAAGAAACTGAGAATGCATTTGTAAAATGTGTGTTCTTCATTGTACACCTTTCACCTCTAGTTAGGCATGTTTGCAAATAAAATTTCCAGAGATATGCCTATTAGCTTCACCTTGTCTCTATTTGGTTGCATGTAACAACTCAAGGACTGTTGAATGGTTAAAATAAGGTAGTAGTAATGTGCACTTATATGGTGAACTACATGTGTTTATCTCAAGTGACTGGATGGGGAATCTCCAGGTTACCGTGGCTAGTTTATATTCAAAACAGCTGCAGCGAGACATGCAATTCTTTTTCATAGTTCAACAAACTCAAGCTAACCAACAGCAGCAGCTAGCACAGCTGCAGTTACAGAGGCAGCATCAGATACAACGTCTTCAGCAGCTTCAGTTGCAGAGGGAAGCAGCAGCAGCTGCACAGAAGCAACAACAACAACAGGTTGTTGTGTCTGGTCAGCGAATACAGGTCCAGCAGACACAACAACCCCAATCACAGCCAGTGCTTCAAGGGCAGATACAGTATTCTGCACAGGTGAGCTCATATACATGTTTTGTTAAACGGGGTCAACATTTGGAATGTTTTAGCTCATTAATGCCTAGTGGTAATTAAAGTGACCAACATGAATGACATAAACTGAGTTATGGACACTTCTGTTCATGAGCCAGTCAGCTTCAGAGAGTTGGTGTATAAACATTCAGTTACTTGACACACACACAAAACCTGCTTAGTAATTCAGTAACTCTGAATTGTGCGCACGGTGTATTTATGGGTTTTGTATGATTCTAGTAGTAAACAGTGATTATTCCTTAAACACCATTAACCAGTTGATCTTTGTAATGGATATGATTTTTGCTTTCTTTACAGTAGGCAGCTGAATACTTATGTTATTTATATTGTATCCTTAAAGGGCTAATGCTGTAAGACTGCTTATTAAGCAGTTAGTGCCCTCTTAAGAATTTGCTCATCTTGGCTTACAGGTTGCAGTACAGCAACAAATGGTGCAAGGCCCAATGCAGTCTCCACTCCAGCAGCAGCAGCAGCAGCAGCAGCAACAACAACAACAACAACAACAACAACAGCAGCAGCAGCAGCAGCAACAACAGCAACATCAACAACAACAGCAGCAGCAGCAGCAGCAGCAACAACAACCGCAACAACAACCGCAACAACAGCCACCGCAACCACCACCACCAACACTGCAGCCACAGTCAACAGATGAGGTTACACACCAAGAACACTTTCAAGATTTAAAGGTTTGCATCACTCATTATTCATCACACTACATCACTGTTGGACATCGTCCATTCTCTGAGGTATATTTACTATATTCATCCAAATATCACTTGACCCTGATGGCACTGAAGATCTGTTATGAATGAAGAAATATCGTGGCTTAGATTGTTATGTATAATGATGACTGTCTTCCAGTGAATGATGATAATTATAGTACAACCACACTCTTTAATTATGCTCAAACAAGGGGGAAAATTTTGAAGGTGAGCTTTTTTGCATATCAGCTTGTGTGATGTTGCTGTCTCCTGCTGCCTTTTGTGTATTCCCAGATTAGCACTTTGTGCTATCCAGATAAAATCCTTAAGTGTGATGTGGTTTTTTTTAATGCAACAATTTTAGAAGAAAAAAGCACATGGTACGTGGTTATACATCGTCCATTATCTGAGATATATTTAATGTCAACATAATGTCTTAAAATAAAGAATAATGGCACATTTTGTTGCTATAATTATAATATTTTGTATGGTGTTATTGCTTCTCCATTATTGTCACATCATTGTTATGGCATTTTGAACATTGAAAATTTAGCTTGGCAATTCTATTTTTTGCTTTCCTGATTCAGATTTGAGAGGTCTGGGTTTGAATTCTGAAGTTCTTTCTTCCTTTGGTTTAACTCTTCAGCGTGGAGTGCCGAACAGCGCTTGTCATGATGTAATCATCACATGGCGTGGAGTGCCGAGCCCTGCTCGCATATTGCGCGCTAAGACTTCTCCTTCTTCGTAGCGACTGACCTTGTAGTTTATGTATTCTGGCTCCAGTAGCTGTGTAGAGAAAAAAGCTGGCTATCGATTGATATATAACATGACTCTGACAGATCGATTTTACCAGTGTTTTCCAACTTTGAAATATAGATCGATTATTGAACTCAACTGCATTCAGTCTCTGCTTTGTGGCTCTCTCTATCGAAGACAAATGAAGTAATATAGTTACGGTTACAACAGCTGTATTTATTTTGTTAAATTGCAAACTTATTATATTGTGTGGAAAACCGCAGGATGAAAGAGTATGGAAGCAAGCGAAGGAATGAAGAAGAAAACTCTTACCAAATGTCATATTTGACTGGTCAGCTCTCCTACTTCTTATTTGACAGGTCACAGGTTCATATTTCAGCCTGAAGACCAGCTATCCTGACTAAGATTTTTTGTGTTTTTTCTCAGTCCCTCCAAGCAAATGCTGGGGTAATACCTTAAGCTAGACCACGATCTCTTTCTTCCACATCCTTTCGAATCCATTGTTCATTGTCATCCTGTCATCCTACACTATATAGCCTAGATACTGAAAAATAGTAAACTTTTGTGTATGTAAGATTTGAGGTTTCCACAGTGGTGAGTATGAAGATCCCTGTCTTTTGGGTTGTTGCGCTGTGTAGTCTGGTTGATGTTAGCCAATGTTTCAGAGGTCATACTGCCTCCATCATCAGGGTGATGAATGTGCCAGTGGGGTGTGTGGGGCTAGTTTCATAGGTGCCAGAGTGTGAATGGAGCTTGGGGCAGGCTACTCCATTCACACTTCGGCACCTATGAAACTAGCCCCACACACCTTTGTGTAATTTGCAGACTGGAGTTAATCAACAAGCTCAGCAACCGCAACAGCCTCTTGTGGTCAACCCAAAAACTAAAACAGCTCTAGCAAACATGCTTAGCATTCGACTGCAGAGTGGAACTACAGGAACACCTCACTTGTCTCCACAGCAGCCAGGAGCTCAGGTAAAGTATGTGGCCAGTTTTGGGTTTTTTCATATACTTTTCTTAAAACTTTGGCCACCAAGCATTAACAGTGCTGGGTGCTGTATTGTATCCCAACTAAATTGATAGGTGACAAAAAAATTCTTCTCTCTTCCTGCTCATTTTGAAACGTGGTAGAAATGTTACTGTGTGCCCTGTGAACGTATGCTGCTATCATTCTGGTACTTTCTGTGTTACTGAAATGCTTTCTGCCTACTATACTCTTTAAATTTACAATTAATTGTTCTCAGCACGTATGAACAAACAAACTCTGTTACTGGTACAAGTCAGACAACTCATGAAAGAATGTTTTCCTGACTGGTAGTCTGTGAACTTGCTAAGATGATGTTCCAATAAATGTGTATCAACTAAGTCTTTTTTACAGAAAGAACATAAGCAGCATTTTTACATTTAACACGGTTTATGTAATTAATACTTATCATATGACACTCCAAATATTATTGCTCCAAAGAGTAATATAATTATTCCATTCTTTGAAGAAACAAGAATAGTAATATTAAATTATGCCAGATGTGAATTTATCACTCACAGTCATTCTGTCATATGATACAAAATAACCTATAACTAACATACTGCATGGAGTAAGAGTCCTTCTTGAGCAGCTAACAGTTTGCTCAGCTGGTCAAGAAACTTGCCTGCATTTAATGGAATCCAAAAGCTTATTACTGTGTTCATGAGTGCCTGCAACCAGTCCCTACCTTGAGTCCAATCCACACCCCCAAATCCTGTTTCTTTAAGATTCATTTTAATATAATCCTCCAATCTATGCCTACCTCTTCTAAGCATTTGTTTGCCTTCAGGCTTCCCAACCAAAATTTTGTATTTTAGTTCTACAGGTTTCTGACAGTAGTCCTATAGTGTATTGAAAGAAATCTTCTTCGAATGTAGTCCATTGTCTGGATAAAAATATTTCCATTGTTTTAGACTGGTGGTTCTCCCTATTTTCAACTAAAAGCAGTGTCATAAAGTATAAATTTTAGAAGTCTGTTATGTTTGTGCAGGGTCCTGTTTTGGTTGGTCAGCCATCAACTTCACAGGAGGGCAGTGCTGCAGGTCAGTTAAGATTAATGACAGCTCAGCATCATGCTCAGCAACACCAGCCGCCACCTGGCATCATTCAGTCACCAGTTCGACCTGTTGCCACAACACACATTCCACCTGATCAGCTTCTCACTTATCAGGTATGTTACTCAGGGAACATAACATTTCCATTGCTTTTTATCACTCCTGTATTCAGGCAGATTGCAAGAAAATAAAGTGACCTCTGGGTGGCAACATTCTTTGACTTACCATTTAGTTTCATATTTTGTTTATAATTGAGCTATGAGCTTGTTGCCATGGTAATAATGTGACTTGTATTTTCGAGGTATCAGTCAAATATGTTGTTTTTCTTAATTAACATTTTCATGTTGTAGCCTGTCTTGAGAGGTTTGATTAGTTATTACCATTTTAATCGTACAATTTAGCATGATTTCATAGGGTCATCATCATCTGACAACTTTTTCATAGATGATATCTTTTTAATATGTTGTATCTTCAGCAGCAACAGAGACGTACTCTGGGCAACATTACAAATGCTACAGGCTCTGCCAGTAGTGGGGGCTCTCCAGTTCGCCCTCCTGGCATGGTGGTAGCTAATTCAGGGGTACCGCCAGTAGGGGTAGTAGTAGGAGCGCCTGGTGTAGGAGTAGCTGTCGCCAAGTCTCCTTACAATCAGACTGCTGCAACGGCTGCCAGAGTAGCTGCAGCATTAGCAAAATCAGCACAGAGCATTGGACAGGTTCAACAGCAACCAAGGGCACAATTCTATGGGCATAACCCCAACTTGAAGTGTGAGTACTTGGTTATAATTCAGCAAGTTTTTGAAGGAGTACAACAGTTTGTAGGTAGCAGGATGATATAGTGACATCTTACTATGCACAACTTTGTGTAGCAACCATTGAAAATGTGGCTTTGTTAGATATAAGACTGCTCTCTTTATCCAGATTTAAAACAAACTCTTCTTATACTTTTGAACATTAACCATGCCATTACCAAGTTATTTTTTTTCAGCACACTTATTCCTGCATGCTGCATTTTTTACTTTAAAGAATTAGACAATTTTTTGTGATATGGAAGTGATTTTTAATGTACTTAATACATGAAATGTTAGCTTCTTATTTCCAGGGAAATCTGTCGTGGAATGTGGTGATCTGTACTTGTAATGTAATATTGTTAGGGTAGTCAAATTGAGTAGGCTGAACATGTATCTTTAATAGAGGAAATGAGAAATATATACAGAATTTTGGTGGGGAAACTTCTTGGTTAGTGACCACATGGAAGATGAAGGTGGAGTGGAAGAATAATATAAAAACTGAACTTGTGGAAATTGATTGTCAGAATTGTGTTCAGTGGCAGATAGGTTGTCTTTGGTTTTAGCTTTGTCAGATCTTTGGATTCAATTATCAGAGAGCATTAGTTTCTGTTAGTCCTTTATTATATAATTTCATTGGTCTGATTTCTTTATAATTTGCCAAAGTGTGTTGTTCTAGCTGCTCATATAACAGACGATATCAGGAGACTAGATCTGCCAGAAACAAAGGTGTATACAAGCTGTGAATCAGGTCTGTGTGCTCTGTAGCTTATGAACTGTGAGGTGTTGGGTTCATTGAAAAGACACGTAAAACATGAAGTTGTGTAGTGGATTGTTAGTATCAAACTTTTAATAATGTTTAAGGATTATAATTATAATAATTTGTTGTGAGTTACCTGTTTCTGTTTTTCAGTGCCACCAGACCTTTTTCTATTGGGTTGCATCTTTCTGATTGTGGATTATGACTGCAGTATGCCTGATGAAGTAATGATGTGGAAACGCATCATTGTTTCCAGTGGTGGTGAGGTTGATACAGTTTATGCACCTCGAGTAACACATGTTCTGTGTGAGACACAAAAGTCCGCAATTGTCCAGCGGGTAATTTGCACAATGATTTTGTTCTGTTTATCCGTATGATTGTTCTGAGTACATGCATTGAATATTATATTATATACAGCTCTTTGTTCATTTGTAAACTCTTAATACATTTTCTTATAAGTAAGTCTATTTTGAAGGAATTATTACAAAATAAAAATTGAAGATTTCCGTCTTCTGGGTTGTTGCGCTGTGTAGTCTGGTTGATGTTAACC